CAAGAAGAAGGAGGAGATCATCCTCAAGTCAAACAGAAAGCTGGATGATCCTAAAAGTTAATAACTGTCCGTGGGGAAAAAGCACCAGGAGTTCCCAGGAGGGAGACCGTGGAATGCTCCTGTTTCTTCTCTATAAAAACACCAAGACTTACTTTTAAAACCAAATCCCTGTTGAAACCTGTCCACAGCAAGTCAGTAAAGTGGAAGAGATATTACAACTCTGGGATGAAGAAAAGCTTATGGGGGTTTGCTCTGACGTTTAAATTAGAGCCTTTGAAGTCATCAAGAAGGCATTTCCTTCCATGCCATGTGCTACGGGGATTTGTTTTATCACATCTTAGTCTTCTGGGGGAAAATTATACAGAAGCTTAGCTTGTCTGCCAAAATTAACCTGCTATTGGCTAGAAAGGAGAGAGCATAGTTAAAACCATTTTCTAGAGGCGTGTGAAATTAGATTATCTGTATGTGAAGATAATTTTAAAAGATCTGAGAAATTCCTTCATGAATTGAGACAAGCTATAAATGCAAATAAGATGTTAGCCACCCACAGATTAGACAGGGATGTGGAATTCACAGGACCCAGGCTGGTTTAGAACCACACACCTTCAATTCTCTCAGGTTACTGACTATTTAGTTACAACACAGTTTTTAAATAGCACTTAGGGATTTTTTTAAAAGTTAAGTAGCATTTCTATAGAAATTCCAAATCCTCCATTTTGAAATCTATAATAGCTAAAAAATCTATGTAAAGGAATTAGATATTAACGCATTAAAAAGCCAACCCAATTTGTATATATTTTCCTGGCTGTTAGATTAAAATAATTAATTTCTAAAATTAAAATATGCATTTTATAATATTCTTATATGCAGCAAAAATCTAGGAATATTAGAATTTCATTTTATGATCAAAAAACAATTATACATATGAGAAACACTAGTTATTAGAAATTTAGATGAGAATAAAGAGAATAAAGGCATGTTCTAACGATCTTTAAACACTAACATTTACTTCTGCTATTAGCATGTTTATATAAAATGTTGCCATTCGATATGAAGCAGATATTTGACATTCTTTTCGTTTTCATTTAAAGTTATGGCATTTTCCTGTCGTTATTTCAAAGAAGTCACTTTTAATTACAGGGAACATTCCAATGAAATTATTTGACCACAAATTCACTTAAAATAACTGGGTTGCTTCCAGTTTCTTGGCTGTTATTAATAACGCCATCTGGAATATCTTTGTGCTTTATACAGTATGTAGGTGATTTCCTTAGCTGAATGGCTAGCACTGAAATCACTCACTAGCATGAGTCACATAGGGATGCAGGTGGTTAGCTGTACTGGGTTCGTGATTATTAACTGTGGCATTTTCAAACTGTCCTAAATTAATTGTTGAATAGAGACACCAGTAAAACTGGAGTTCTGTAACTGTACAGTTATATAAACGACACTGAAGACAATGAACAAACTCACCACTTGTTTCTCACGCTACCCTCCTCTCCTCTCATATTGCTGGTGGGCATTCGTACCAGTTGTCTCTGTCTATGGGAGCGCTGTATAATAGTGCCCAGCTACATACTCAGCGACATAATGCCCACGACCTGAACTGTCTGTGTCAAGGACTCGCATTCTGGGAAGTGGGAAATGCTATTCGTTGTGGCTTCCTGTCACCCTGTAACCCAGGAAACTGCCCTGCTCCTCACATAATGAGCTATGCTGGCCAGCATTTGGTTTGTTTCACCCTCACACTACTGGTTTTTCTGCCAGTTTCAAACGTAGGGGTGGGGAGATGGCTCAGCAGGTAAGGGCTCTTGCCACTGGGAAGCGTTGTTCAATCCCTAGGGCCCACGTGGTACCAAGCGAGAACAGACTCCTGGAGCTCCTCTGGCCTCCACACATGCGTGGCGCTGTGTGCCTTCCACATGAATGAATGAATGAACGAACGAATGGGTGAATGAATATTTAAAATCATGTAAAGGAAATATAAATAAGTTAAACTTTAAAGAGAGGGCAGCAGAAGCTGACATCTAAGTGTCTTCATCAGCCTGGCCCATCACTCAGTCACTCCATAAAGTATTCTCAAAGAACAGCAGTGAGGAGCTGTTAGAAACACAGAAATGTCTAAGACAGGCAAAAACGATGACTTAAGATAGAAAATGAGAATTGCCAGACCACAAGATAATACAAGGATGTGAGAAGAGGATATATCACACAGAAGGATTTTTAAATGTCTATGAAAATAAGGAACTTTTAGAATTATAAATGGTATCACACAAAAGTGAAATAATTGTTTAAGGTTAAGAAAGAACTCCCTACTTGGGGCTGGGATGCAGCTCAGCAGTTGGGACCTGGCCCAGCATGTATTCCAGCACTGGAGAGGATAAAAAAAAAAAAAAAAAAAAAAAAAAAAAAAAAAAAAAAAAAAAAAAAAAAAAAAANAAAAAAAAAAAAAAAAAAAAAAAAAAAAAAAAAAAAAAAAAAAAAAAACTAGTTTTTATTCCTCTTCAAACACAGCCATGTATCACGCTGCGTCCCTCTACCAAGGCTGCAGTGATTGGAGACTTCTTTGTTCTCCCAATACCTTGCCTATCTCCTAAACACTCACTCATCTTTGCCTTACAGTGGGTGACTGAAAACAGACTGGCGAACAAGAATTCACATTCTGGGCTGGTGACATGCTGAGCATTTTATATACTGAAGCATATTTAACAAGAACACCATGAGTGCAGGCTGTTTTTATCAAGAAGAAAATCCAGTCCCTCGCCAAATGAGCAGAACAACTCAAGAGACTGAATAAGAAACAAGTCTAAGGTTAAGGAGACAGCGGACCAGCTCTCTGTCAGTGTCTGGACTCTAGTTCTGTTTGGTTCCCTGGAGTCCCTGCTCTACTACTTGGCCACGCCATTTGTCCTAGTATGGTTTCTGTTGCTGTTATAAAACACTGACCAAAAGCTCTTGGGAAGAAAAGTGATCTTAGGGCTACCAGGTCACAATCTATCACCGAGGGAAGCTAAGGCAGGAACTCAGGTGGGAAAATGGAGGCAGGAACTAAAACAGAGACCATGGAGAAATGCTGCCTACTGGCTTGCTCGCCACAGCTTGCTTAACTTGCTTTCTTACACACCCCAGGACACATGCACAAGGGTGGCATCACCCACAGTCGCCTACCCTCCCACACCAATCAACCATCAAGAAAATGCTACATAAATATACCCACATGCCAGCCCGGTGAAGGCATTTCCTCAGTTGGGTTCTTTCCTCTCGGGTGACTCATTAGTATCAAGTCGACAAAAACTAACCCTCACACCATCTCTCAAAAAAAAAAAAATGCAGTGTCCATGGAGGCTAGTGGTTAAGATTTGATCCCTTCAAATATAAATAAATGAGACGTGTCCATTCAGGACCAAATTACAGAAATCCTTTTACAAATACTCATTCTTTGTTTTAATTTTTAAAGTTTGTTTCTCTTATTCATTCGTATAATTGAAGCACAACACGCAAGTGTTAGATGTAACTCCGTGGCTGTGACTCCTGACATTCAGATCAATTACACTTGTCTCGGGAGTGTGTTCATGCTGTGCACACTTGCCACACTTGCCCTCCGAGTGCACGCCCCCCTAGCTGCCAGCACTCAGAAGCTGTGCTTGTGATCAAGGAATTCACTCTTGCATGAATTGCGGGCTTCTAAATTACGTATCCTACTCACTATCAGAAGCCCATTTTCCTTTACTTTGTAAAGGAAAACTCACTGTGTGTGTAGTCCTAGATGACGCTAAACTCAGGAGACGCCTGCCTCTGCCTCCTGAGTGCTGGGATTTCAGGCGCGTGCCTCACCCCTGCCTGGCTCACTCACATTTAAAGGGCATAGATCTCTATTTTAGATACCCAAAGTAAATCAAATAAAGTAAAACGTGTGAGTCTCAGTTAGCAAGCCTTAATTATATGAATTTCTTCCCATTTCCCCAATACAAATGGCTTTTATAGTATAGCCTTAACTTTTTTAATTAAAAAGTAAATACCACTTAAATATTCTAAAAGCGTTTTAGATGATTCACTTGAGTTTATACAAATAACATGAATACTGTTTCCCTGGGTGTGCACGCTACATTGTGTTATGTACAAAGACAAGAGATACAGGTGTAAATGTGTCACAAATGTAGTACTATGAAAGTCACTTTAGCCCGTGCTTAAAATAGAACAGAGTTTAAAAAGAAGATTGAAGACTCCAAAAAACATGCTCAGAAAGGGATAAATCTCCAAAATATAAAAATAAATAAATAAGCTTTTAAATAATACCAATAATAATTCATACAAAATTCCATTTCTCCATCAACTGACAGTGGTGTGGAAAGGGGAGAACAAACTGTGTCCCTGACGAAATACTTTAACAGTAATGGAAACTGAACTAGCCCCCAAATTACTAACCTTCACAACCAGCAGTTTGATTTCAATACCAGCAAAGGAAAGGACAGCCATTAAGTAAAATTATCACTGTAAGACATTCATAAAAGGACACAGAATTAATTCATCATTAGAGTTTCATAAGTCAGCCCCAAACTGCTGTCAAATAATATTCACAGCTTAATCATTTGGACCACTTCATAAAGAAATTCTTAAGCTTTTTAAACTTTTCTTTGTATGTGGTCATGGATGTATGAAAGAGGAGAGGAACCATTACAACAGCTTAGTTAATAGATACTGTTCTTCGTGCATGGGGCAGAAGTCAAGATTTAATGCGACCAATCCCGTAAGGGTACTATTATTACCTCAATTCTGTATGCCACATACAAATAAGAAACACAAAACTCTAACAAGAAATGCCATCCCAACACTGACACTATGAAAACATATTTTCACCTGGCTTTACTGATGATGGCATATTTTATGTCCTTTATAATCAATCATACTTATAACTATTACTAATAAAAAGAGATCAGCAAGTATTTCTTTTTAATTTTTATTTTTGTAAACTTTACAATGAAAAAAAATCAAACATTGAAACTAATCAGGGCTGAAATCTATACATTTCAATTAATTTCATTACATTTAGAGCAGCATTCTGAATCTGTGGAGCTTCACGTTGGATTTTACACTTTCGTTATCAAATATATATTTATGCATTTATCCTTGACCAAAAACAAAACAAAAAATGTATGACAGAGTTAGAATGAAGGAGGAGGAAATTTTTTAAAAAAATAATTTGGTCTTTAAAGATTTCTTCTATAGTCTTTTATTTTTATTTTGTTTTTAATTTTTTTCTTGTTTTATTTTCTTGTTTTTGTTTTGTTTTGGGTGAGGTTCTTTTGCTTTGTTTTTCCCCCAAGACAGAGTTTCCCTGTATAGCCCTAGCTGTCCTGGAACTAGCTCTGTAGATCAGGCTGGCCTTGAACCCCTCCCTGTCTCTGCCTCCCGACTGCTGGGATTAAAGGCTTGCACCACCAACAAGTCTGGCTCATCCTTTATGTAGTCTTTTTGGCTTACTCCTCTTGGATTTTGTTTATTTGTTGTAAGCATTTCTTAAATATACAACTACTTTTACCTTGTAGATGCCACAAAAACATGCTGCCCCCAGTTCATAATTTATCTAAGAAGCCATAACAAAGAGATATTGAATAATGTAAGATTAAATTGGAAGACTCATCCATAGAAAAATTTATATATCAGAAGCTATATACCAAATTAATCTCTCTCCTCTTTTCTCTCTTTGCCTCTTTCTGTTCAGTCTATTATTATACACTAAAGGCACAAGCTTCCTTGCATTATTTTGATAAAGAAAATGTAGGCCAATCCATTCATCATGCCCATTACAATAAACGAAGTGACACTCGCTAGAATACTGTCTGCAGGAAATTACCTCTATTGGCTCCAACTGCTCCTCCAAGTATGTACGCAGACAACTGTTTGTTTACTAAGCTTCATGACGGCCTATTGTAACTGATAAAACACTGAATGCTTCTAACCTTTCGTGTCCATGCTTTGCAAGAAAATGTTTATTTTTCTTGGCAGGAAATTAACGGAAAATGGGAAGAAAGGGCCAGACTACTTTCGTGTGTAAGTGAATTGGGATTTTTAGAGAACTGTTTCCCACTAGAACTTTGTCTACACACAACTTAATCGACAAAATTTACAACGTTTACAGCTCTTAACAGATTGTGTCTGTTCTTAAACCTATAAATAAACTTTTTGATCACATCAAACCCAGGTTCGGAGTCCAGTTATTTAAAGTGGAATTGGAAAGCCAGAACATAGCTACAGTTAAAGAGATGCCAAGAAGACTCAATCCTAGTAGCAAAGCTGTTTTCTGCTTCCTCCATGTGCCAAGGATGCTGCTTGCTCAGGGCCTGCTCCTGTGATCGTTGAAGCCTGAGCCTCATGACCTCACTCAGTGAGATGCCAGGTCTAATGCCAAACCAAACACAACTGTTTTCATACTGAAGTTCCAAATTAGGAAGAGGCTAATTACTTAAATTTAAATTGGAAGGGAAAAAATTTTTGAGAGTCTATAAATCAGAAGGCCCTTAGAAACTGGAATGAATATGGGAGGGAGGAAATGAACTCATGTGTATAAAAACAAATTTTTATTCACCTCTCTCAAGAATGTAAAAAAATAAAGTTTAAGTAAAAAAAATCCTCATCTGATGTTTAAACATAGTCCTCTTTACAGACTTCGAATAGATAGGAATTGATTATTGGTAAGTAAGGCAGACATGTCAGGGTAATAAAAATAAGCTGTCCCAAAGAGAATCAGATAATTAATTAAAGTAATCAGCAGAGAATAAACAATTTATTAATTAAAGTTCACAACTTTCCAGGATACTTTTTCTATTATTAGAAAGACATAGAAATTTAAACGTATTACCTCAGGGCTTCTGAATTTTTCCTATTTTGTACATCTATAATTTTTCACATAGGAGAGCATTCAAAATGTAAATACAGGCAAAAATGAGCAACTAAACATACAGAAAACTCGAGTCACTCCCAGAATGAACACTTTCTGAACTATTCTATTTATAGCTGACAAACTAATATATAAGTTGTGCTTAAGCTGGGCCATCCCTTGCATGAACTTAAATTTAACAATACTTAAATGCCATAAATCTGCCGAACTCTACTTCTGATTAAATTAATCCAATATTCACAGTGCCAGAAAAGAACCTAATAATATGAAAGCAAGGATACATTAGGTCTGAGACACCCAGCATAAGAAATACTCCCATACTGACAAAGCCGAGCCCAGAAGTCTAAACTTTAAGTTGTGTCACAAAAACTGGGAGCGACTTGGTCTAAATAACATGAATAAACAACTTGGGACTTAAATAATAACAACCTCAGATGACCCAAAGTCTCAATAATCTTGGTCTCTCAATTCCTATAGGACTCATAGACTGAGTCAGGTGGTAGAGCAGGTGACTAATATTCTTAGGTCACTTTTTCTTAGTTCTTTTTAAACTCACAGAAAGGTCACAGCTATGGACAATTCTTCTCCTAGCGCTGCAGAAGGACAGGCTCCAGTGAGAAGGAAATACCTTGATTCAGCCGACTATGGCCAGCCACTGGAAAACAGTAACACTGCAATAGCAGCATCTGAAAGAAAATACGCTAGCTATTCCAGGCAGGATTAGAGAAACAAGAAGAAAAATAAAGCCAGATTATAACAGTCACTACTCAGTTGTTGCAAAAGAAGGCAGACACCTGAGTTAGTAGGGAAGAAGAGCAGAAATAACCAGATAGACTGAGATAGTCTACAGACAATCAGCAGTCAAAGAATCATTAGTGTGGGCAGCAACCGAGAACAACCCCTTGACACCTCAGGCCTCCATACACAAAAGAAAACATGTGCATACACACCTGCACACATGATCATGCCAGAGATACGTGCACAGTCATGTACCACAGTTGAGGGATGTTTGATCACACTGTGAACCCCGAGTTTGCATTAATGAAATAAAACCTTGAGTCAGGAGGCGAAGCCAGCAACTAGGTAGCTGGAAGAAGCCATTGGGAGTTAGAGGAAGGAAGTCTGGAACAGGGATAGAGAAATGCAGAGGAAGGAGTAGGGAGGTACTTGGAGTTTCGCAGTCTTTTTTTTTTTTTTTTTCTGGCTGGGGACAGCAGAAGAGACTCTCTCTTGTTGGGTGGCTGGTTAAGGAGAAAGGTCAACTGGTTGCTTCTTGGTCTCTCTGAGTTAGCAGGTTTTCACCCCAGTATCTGGTTCCCAAGTCTTTGTTGGTAAAATAGAACGATATAAACTTAGTTAAAAGCTACATTTGGCTGCAGGCAGAGGTGGTTCCGTTGGGAGCAGCAGGGGCAGTGATGGCAGAGCTGCAGTCAGTAGCTGAAACAGCAGTGGATCCAGGTGCATCCACTGTGCCAATGATAAAACAACATATCACACATATACAAACACCAAAAACATTGATAATTTACTAAATAACAGAAGAAGAAAGAATAGCTAAAAAAAATAGCTTGATACAACAAAGACTTAAGATCTTTTGTTTGTTTGTTGTTTTTTCTTTTATGGTTTTTCGAGACAGGGTTTCTCTGTAGCTTTGGAGCCTGTCCTGGAACTCACTATGTAGACCAGGCTAGCCTCAAACTCACAGAACTCCACCTGCCTTTTCCTCCTGTGTACTGGGATTAAAGGCGTGCGCCACCACTGCCCTGAAAGACTGAAGATCTTAATTTGCCCAAAGCGCTAAAAGAGAATTAAAACCAATCAGTCTTCAAACTACTCATAACAACACATCCACAAAAACAGTGAAGTCTGACAATCGTGGGAATTATCACACAGGTGTCAACGACGTGTTACAGGTCCAGAAGATGATGCAATCGATCCTGAGTAGAAGCCAGAACATTTGAAGATGAGTGATGGTGAAAGCAGTGAAATTCGTGTCAGATCATGGTACTGTCTCTTCAAAACGTCCCTTGACCTACCCCCAATCTCTTCGTACTAACCAAGTCCAGTCACTGGCATTTGTGACTGTGATACTTCATCAAACAAACTATGGGACCCAAGCAAATCAAGTCAGTTTCCAAAGTCTCCCAAGACACCATTTATTGTGCTACTCTTACTGCCCAGATGACTCTGGAGACCACCAATGACTTTGAGAACCAATCATCTGCTCCCCAAACAATCACTTCTTGAAGGCCCCTCCTACCTTTTACCTGAGCTCCTCTAAACTTGGTCATAAACAATATCAAATTACTTTACCCTAGCTAAAGAGCAGACACAGCCTTTTTGTCAAGATCATGTAATATTTAGCTTCTGGCACCAGAAACTCTAAGACTCCATACGGGCTCTCTGACTTCACCATTATGTAACGCTGGACCGGTCCATCTGTATTCTTACTGACATCATCTGCAGGAACAAAGTCAGTCTCTGGGGAGGTGGGTGATGTGTGGATTTGTGTCAAGTTTTAATAGTTAGTGGGGCGAGTTTATAAATATCCGTATATTTTGTGAAGATGACTATAGATTCATATTAGGTAATAATATCACTTTATTACATAATTGGTAATCAATATAAATGCTCAAAGCCTAGATAGGGGAAGGGAGAAAGAACAATAGATAATTGTTTTGTCTATATTTGCAGACTCTGTAAGCCTACTGAGACTTCTGATTTTGTATCCCAATTCCAATTTAAGTTCCCTGAAGCTTACATCCATAAAGCAAACAGAGCTTAGTGAGCCTTTTAAGCCGAGTCATCTTAGAACGGCAATAACCAACCCCATTTTTGAATGTCTGTAATTCAAGAAATGTTAAGCTCCTTTTCTGCTGTTCTATAATTTTATGTATTGGTTTGCTAGAGTCTTCCTAGCTTGTCTGTGCTATCTATACCAATGCTCTCCAGTCGACACTTCTACAATGATGATACACTCCACGTGTGTACTATCCAACACGGTAGCCTCTAGCCCCTGAAGCTATTGTGCATTCGAGACACAGTTAATGCGTCTGCAGCATGACTTTCCTACTTTAATCCAAATCTAAACAGGCACAGTCATCTTCGACTGTGGCTACCATTTTAGACAGCTTGGGCCCACAGTAAGTATGCCACAGACAAGGTTCCTTCCCACAGGTGCCCATGCACCGCCCTGATTCATCTTGACACTCATGGCATTCCCTCTGCTTGGATTTCTGTCCGCCCCCCTCAGTGTCAAACGCCTCCTCATTTTTCCAAGCCAGTTCATTTGGTACCTTTCCACGACCCTTCATTCCTTTTCTTTCTCCGAGAGAAACAGAATAAGAAAAGCTACAGTTTAGGAACATTGCAAACTAACATTTGAAACCCAGGAATACTCTCTCTACATCAAAATTCACTACATTTTAACCAAATTTTGTGCCTCAATTTTCTCACCTGTAAAATACTAACATGAATTCAAATCTTGCAAATTTGTTTTAAACTGAAAATTCAGAGTAGGAGCTAGAGAGATGGCTCGGCAGTTAAGAGCACTGTTTGTTCTTTCAGAGGAACAGGGTTCAATTCCCACATGGTGACTCAACTATCTGTAACTACGGGTCCTGGGTATCTAGTGCCCTCTCGGGCTTCCATTGGCACCATACATATTTGTGGTACACAGACAAACATACAGGCAAAACACATACACATAAAACATTTTTTTTTAAAAAAGAAAATCTGAATAACATTATCATGTAGTCAATATTTTTGTCTATTTACATAAATCGCTATGGAAGGTTGTGATGGCTAATCTCCACTATCAACTGGACTAACTTAGACTCGCCTGGGAGTACCTGCTGAGGGAATTTCCAGAGAGAAGGAAATGGGCTGAGAAGTCCCAGGCTGAAAATGGGTAAAACCAACCCATGGTCTAAGGGCCCAGACTCAATGAAGTGGGGAAAAGCAGAAAGTTGTGCCTGATCCAGCATGACTCTTTCTGATTCCTCTCATTCGTGATGTGGCTTGCTCAGCCATGCCTTCCCTACCATGATGGGCTGAACCTTCTGAAACCACAAGTCAAACCAAAAAGTTCCTCCTGTAAGCTGTTTGCGATGCTCATGTCGACAAGAACGGGAACTAAAGCAACAGGCAACATTGAGGTTTTCACTGCATTTCCATAACAACTTTATATGGGATATGACATTCCTTTATTTATCCATTCGCAAGTGTAACAGTTTTTATTCGTTTATTCATTCAAAGACACCACACACATCTGGTAAGAAACTGGAGGTAAAGGACTGAACAAACAAAATCTTTGAGCTTGCAGATCTTATATTTGAGAGGAAAAGACAGAAATAAACAAGAAAATTATATGTGTGTGTTTGTGTATAGACAGCATATATATATACACACACACTATACTGTAAATAGTATGAGCGACATGAAAAAATAAAATAAGTAAAGAATTGAAGAACGTTATTTTCTAGAAAAGGCTGCATCACAAAACCTTACTGGTAACGTAATAGTTGGGCAGGGAACTATATATAACACCAAAATCAGCTATATGGCTATATTTAGGAAGAGTGCTCCAGGAAAGGCACAGAATTGCTGAGGGTCAATACACTGAAGATTCCATACTAGATGCAAGAAATACACAAATGAACAAAAGTGATTGGGGACTGCAGGGACTACGCATTACCATGATTTGATGAAAAGCGTAATACCTTAGAAACAGAATGGTGGCACACGAGTGTAATTCTAGCGCTTGGGGGGTGGAAACAAGAGGACTGAGAATTCAAGGCCATCCTGAGTTACATTTACATTCTGTCTCAAATACCAAAAAGAAAAGTAAATAAATAAATTTATAAAGAAAAGAGAAAAATACAATGAGAGGAAAGAGATATTGTTTCTCCTGTACAGAAGAAGATATTGAGAAATTAAGGACAAACTACCAAATTATAAAACATGCATTTAAGCCCATGAAGTGACACTTAATCTCACTGTTTTGTTAATATGCCATCCTCTCCCTTTTAATAAAAATTCTCCAAAGAGAACCCCAGGCGACAAGGACTGTGGACAAGTCTCCAAAATGCCCTCAAAAGCAGGGTGAGCGCAGAGAGGAGACAATGATGGAGAAAAGTGAAAACCCACTCTCGACAAAACACAGAAATTCCATCATAACTAAAGAGGGCATGACTAAAGGAAAGAGATATTTGGGGAATTCCAGATTAAAAACAATAAATAATATGCACAACATGCCAGAAAAGTGATGTTTTCAAAGTGGGACAGAATGAAAGAGAACTGTTTAAATAATCCAGCACTCACCCCATCAATAGAGAAATATCTAGAGGGGTTTGAAAAAGGGGTAAGATGGGGAACAAAGAAGAAATCAAGGTCGCCATGACAGATAATAACTGAACTAGTGACCAGTTAGCAAAACACATCAGGATTAACTGGCCCTCTCTGCTTCAATATTTTCTTTGTTGTAATTCTTAGGATTTAAAATAGTTTGTTCCAAAGCTGATTCCTATAACTTAGCAATCTAGTCCACAACTAGATTACCAACACATTAGCAAATAAAGAAAATTCCAGAACCATATGGGAAAAATTCTCACCATACCATCATAATCCTTTTAATCTCTATGAAAATATATTATTACTCATAAGTGTTATGCTTTTTGAGTAATTTCCAAGTGATATATATCCATTCTCAATATACATCTATTTCTGATTATCTAAGAAAAAGAAAGGAAGAAAGATAGAGAGGGAAGGGGGAGGGAGGGAGGAAGGGAGGGAGGGAGGGAGGGAGGGAGGGAGGGAGACTCGGAATTATATAAAGAAGAATGTATCAACTTTATTGCATCCTCAGAAGGCTTTGTCTATCAGTAAGATCAGTGTTTGCATTCATTCATTTCTGTATATGTGTTTGATGAATCTCGTATGTATATAGAAATTTTTAGCAAACTTTCTTTTCTGCAGGCTGGCTTTAAAATCATGATCCTCCTGCCTCAGCCTCTGGGGTTCTGGGATACATCACCCCAGCTCGTTTGTTATCATACTTTTAACAAAATCTTTTATTGTACTATTTTTCAATTAAGAATGAAGAACAATTTGCCTGACTTACAATACGAATTTAATAAAGGCAAAATATTCTACTATAAAGCAGCAGTTCTCCGTTCAAGCAGAGAATGCTGATTTGTGAGTTTACCCCTAAATAAATAACCATCTATTTCTCAATCCTGAGCTAGTGTGGGATTTCTTTTAAGAGTCCGTTCCACATTCTGCCTTTGATATGATACGATACCCTGAACAAGAGAAATCCATTGCTCTTGACAGGAAAGTCACAGAAGCTGGGGCTTCAAAGGGGCAACATTACATCTCCAGCAGAAGACCAGGGCAGTAAGTGTGGTTAGTGTTCTGCTCGCCCGCTCTCCTTCCATACAGCTAGGAATCCTCCTCAAACCAAGACA